ACTGGAGTTCAGACGTGTGCTCTTCCGATCTCTCAATGAGCTTCGGAATTGCACTTATTGTAGGCGTATAAATTATTCAATTCAACTCGCCTTTTTTACAAACCAACTATATAATTAACTAAAAAATCTTATTATTTATAAAGTTAAAACAAATGAACTTCAAGAATGGTAAATTAATCAATCATTTAACCAAATAAAATAATTCATTTAATAATAATTATTATTATCATTGTAAAAGGTACAAAGGATTTCTCAAGGATTGCCCCAAGGGTGAACTTAGCAAAGGTGAATTTCAAAAAATCTATAAACAATTCTTTCCACATGGTGATCCTTCAAAATTTGCAGATTATGTTTTTGATGTATTTGATCAAAATAAAAATGGAAAGGTTGATTTCAAAGAATTTATATGTGCACTATCAGTGACTTCAAGAGGAGCATTGGATGAAAAATTATCATGTATTTTTTTGTAATTGTATATTTTTTTTCATTTGTACAATATTCATCTAATGATATCATTATATATAATAAATTACATAGGGGCATTCCAATTGTATGATCTTGATAGTGATGGATATATAACATATGAAGAAATGTTAAAAATTGTTGAGGCTATTTATAAAATGGTTGGGAGTATGGTAAAATTACCAGCTGATGAAGATACACCTGAGAAACGTGTAAATAAAATATTTAATACAATGGATAAGGTAACTTTTTATTGGTTAATATATATAAAAGATCAAACAAATGAATAATGATTGATATATTATATTATACATGATATCTTAAATCATACATATAACTAATATATATTTAATATATATAACCACTTACCTTCTCCGCCATATCTATTATTATTATTTTTACATTTAGAATAAAGATGGTAAATTAAGTATAGATGAGTTTAAAGAAGGTTCAAAACAAGATCCAACGATCATTCAAGCATTAAATTTATATGATGGTTTAGTATAATATGTAATTAATAAATTAATGGGATTATTATTATGATATATTATTTATTTATTTATTATGAGAAATTTTCCAATTAAATCAATGCATATATATATGTATATTTGTACAGTGTAATTTTATTCTTATTTTTTACATTTGAAATTTATCTCTTCTTTTTTAGTGTTTGTTATTGTGTAGCATTTAATAAATAGTAATACTAATAATATAATTTCTTCAAGATCATCATGAGTGAATTTTGATCTTCTAACATCACGTTTATTTAAAACATTTCGATCCTACTACCACATCATCTTTAATATTGCTTAAACTTTTAAAACTCCCCAAATTCCAAATTATTCTCGTTGATTATCATCATATATATATTCATGCCTTGAATACATTTTCAAACTTTTTGCCTTCATTTTCTTTTTTAGAAATATAAAACTCTTTGTTAGTATATTTTGTTCATAGATCTTGTCCTTAAAGCTTACTTCGATTACTCCTACACAAACTATTGAATGATTGATAAAACGTTCGTTAGAATATTTTGCAAACTTCATAAATCTTGTCTTAACACTTGTACAAACTATTGGATAATTGATAAAACGTTCGTTAGAATATTTTGTAAACTTAATAGATCTTGTCCTTAAAACTTATACAGACTATTGAATATTTGATAAAACGTTCGTTAGAATATTTTGTTCATAGATCTTGTCCTTAATGCTTGTACAAACTATTGAATAATTGATAAAACGTTTGTTAGAATATTTTGAAAGCTTCATAAATCTTGTCCTTAACGCTTACTTCGATCACTCCTATACAAACTGGATCTTATCATCCTCAAAAAACGATGATTCGTTGTCGTCGTTGCTACTAATTATAATTATTGATTGATGGATCTTCGTATATTACAAATGTAACCAATCAAATCAATTAGCGAATTTTTAATTTTTTAAATGTTTCCTTTTAACTAAATAAAAATAAATAATAAAAATTAACAAAAGGAAGGGTCATGTCACGAAGGGTCAATACACCCAACATGAGCCACCCACGTGAGTTCCACCTTCCTACAACGCAGGACTTTACAGCCGGTCCAAAGTGAGGCATTAAACCGGACACAGGGGGCCTTACTTGAGTACTTCGTCATTGCATGACCTTTCCCTGGTCGATACTATTATACCAATTCTATGACTTATATATCAACTTTTTTTCAAATTCATTGGATTAAATTTATTCCATAATTTTTATTTGTGTAATCTAAAAAAAAAAAATAAAATTAAACAGAAAAAGTAAACTGTTAAATACAAGATGTATGTCAACATACGAAGC